TGACAAGATGTTCACCCGCTCTACACAAACTGTTCTTCCATAAAGTTTAGGCAATATAGTGTCAGAGGGGAAAGATGCTCTAATTGCCCCAACTTATGCCAAGATCCCTCTCAATGAATGACTGTGTTGTCTCTCATTATGACTTTGTCCCTCTGCAACATGAACTCAATGACCATTTTCCTTGGAATTTTAAAGGCTGGCTTTGGCAGCCTCATGCTTGTTTGTAGATCAGTGTCAATTGTAGACCAGATCACAGAAACACCTGTCATACAACAGGACTAGATTGGTGGCCTCAGTGCTGCCTTTAGCCATATGAGGCCCAGAGATGGGCCCTGCCCTTCAGTCCCTTCTGAGTGGCCACTATTCATTGCAGACAGCAGTGATCTGCCTGGAATGTGTCCATGACATCACTAAAGACAACATTCACAGGAGGACAACCAAGTACAAGGTCTGGGAGAATTTCTCAACTTTGTGGTCAAACGGTTAAGTCTATGTCTGACCTCAGATGTTGTATCTGAATGAAAAGTATTTTCAAGACTGTGGACTAAGTCATCTTTCTACTGTGCTCCAAGATAGGCAAGCAATACCCACCTTCCAAAGTGGAGCAATATCCCTGCTTTCCATCCACAGTGGTACCCATTTCCTTCCAGCTTGCTGTCACATTCCTGTTAGGAGACAAATATGCTTCTGACAAATGCCCCACAGTAAGGGGTCCTTCACCAACTGCCAAATGACACAGCATCATGCAGTGGGACTGTGATTCCTATGATAAGAGGGACAAAGGGATGTAGGTAGGCTGCAAACAGGACAGCAAAGAAGGGAGCCAGAGGAGGAAGAGGCTCACCTATCCCAAGTATGGCAAAACATCTCCCTTGCACCTCATCTTGAAGGTAAAGAAAGAAATTAAGTATTGCTGTGGTGAATCCATGGAGACTGTCCCATCAGGACTTCTAATTCAGGGGCAGATTGGAGTTGAATTTTGGCACAATGTTTCACTCTGAGAAGAATGATATGGAAGTCCATCCATGGGACTTACCCTTGCTAACTATGGTGTCTATGGAGAATCCTGTGGAAGTAGATGGCTTACTTCCTCCTGTGCTGGACTTCTCTCCTGGGGTAGTAGACAAACTGCCATCTTAACTACCTGCAGGGCTCCAACATCAGCTCTTCAGTCACACAAGGAAAATTCCTATCCCATGTCTCAACCTTCATAGAGACTTATCACTTCAGAAGATAGAGACATATGCTAAACACAGTCTTAAGAACTTTGAAATATGTAGTTCAGATTCTTGACTCTTATTTCCTTCTGGGCCATCCATTTTCAAGTGTTTCTTCCCCTCCCACTCTTCCATAGCCTTTGCAGTTTTCTTCCCCCAAAACTTTGACTCCAGTCTTATACTTTCCTATTTTAACTAATGAATTCTTGATGCCTCTGCAATGTCTGCTTCTCATCTTCTGTTGTCTACCTTCAGCTAAATCATTTGTGATTGTTGCAGTGGACTTTTGAAAATATATAGACTAAGAAACACAGGAGTGCATTTTGGACACCCCATGGATCTGCATGTGTGTGACTGCAGTGCTCTCCACTAACACTGGTTCCTCTTCGTTCTGAGAACCATGGCTTCCTTTGGAGGCTGGCACACAGCAGCATAGTCGTCCCAGACAATTTCCAATTCTTTTCTTCACCCTCTTCCAACCTCGCGATAGATGCCTCTCAGAGGCTGCAGTTACACCTCTTTGAAGAACATCTTCAAAGCTGAACTTAGAGGTAGCCGGAAGGGAAGGTCTCTGGATTTCAGGAATGCCTTCAAGGAGGACATTGTCAAAGCTCTTCTGAGATGATTGCTGCAGAGAAGATCTCTGGATTTCATCAATGTCTTCAGGAGGGACATCATGAAAGCTGTTCTTGGATGTTTCCTGAAGGGATGATTTCTGGAGTTCAGTTGTGTCTTCAGAAGGGACATCTTCAAAGCTGTTCTTAGATTTTTGCCAACCACATGATCTCTGGATTTCAGGTATGCCTTCAGGAGGGACATCTTCAAAGCTCTTCTTTGATGTTGCCTGAAGGTAGTATATCTGGATTTCAGGTATGCCTTCAGGAGGGACATCATCCAAGGTGTTCTTGGATGTGGTCTGAAGAGAACCTCTCTGGATGTTGTATGTGGCAGTGGTGTTCACAATGTGAGGGACCTCCCTGTAACTCCCTGAACTCTGAACGTCTGAGCTTTTGTTGGGTGTGTTCACTTCCTGGGGTGTTTCACAGGACAAGAGGGATGCAGAAGAAATGTTCTCAGAGCACAGGGATCTTGAGGATGAGCAATTGCAAATCATGTGCCAAAGATCTGCTCTTAATGTAAGTAACCTTATGAGCCAATTTGGAGGCTGAGCATGGATGTTTGATTCTCTTCTGCTGGCAGCACAAGCGGGCACGCATGCTCAGGCTTCTCATCCTCTTCTTCCTTGATCCCTTCTCATCATGCACCTGGTGTTCCTCCAGCACGATGCGAAGAGCAGGCTCACTCAGTCCCCTCTGAGTTGGAAAGCTAGTGAGAGCATCTGCTGGGGACATAGTAACACGTGCCGGCAAGAATTTCCCAGCATATTTACAGTGTTCACAGGATGACTTGTGGTTTAAAATTAGGTACGTGGCCATGATGTTATTGAATTTCTTCTCACATAGACAAGTACTAATGTCCTTGGGGTAGTAGCCCATTCTCCCCATAGCCACCACAATGCTGGGATTGAGGTTGTTCCAGAGTGCCTCTAAGGATGGTGTGATTTTCCCAAATTCTTCCTTCGTCTTGAGCCACTGGTGCTGCCTAATGTCAAATATCTTGGGCTTCTGCTCAGGCTTCACAGTGAACAACTACATAATGATGGTTGCTATGTTTTGGGATAGGATGTAAGGGAGGTGGTACTTGGGATCCAGTATCTACTCCTTCATCTGAAAAGGTGTTGGCGCTGAAGGGAAAGAATGCAGTCACCGTTGTATATAAAACCACTCCCAGGCTCCAGATGTCAACTGCCTTTGCATCGTATTCCTTGCCAGAGAACAACTCTGGAGCACAATATTCCAGGGTTCCACAGAACCCCTTGGTACCCTGGCCAAGGGTGATTCGGGTGGCCAGGCCAAAGTCGCACAGCTTGATGTTGCCTTTGTCATCAAGCAGGATATTATCTAGCTTGATGTCTCTGTGTGCAATGCCATTATCATGGCAGTAGTGAACTGCACACACCAGTTGTGTAAAAATGTGCCGGGCCTGCTCCTCCTGCAGACGGCCCACCCTCCCAATATAGCTCACAAGATCTCCACGAGCAGCATGTTCCAACACCATATAGGTGTATTCTTTGGTGTTGATGATATGGAACAGCTTGATAATATACGGGTGGTTCAAAGTTTTATACATGTCAATTTCAGTATTTATGCTGAAGTCATTGTTGGTTCCATTGTGTAGTACCTTGACAGCAACTTGCACCTCTGTGTGAAGGTGGTAGGCAAGCTTCACCTCAGCAAAGTTCCCTTTGCCGAGGCTCCTGAGGATGACATAGTGATCTGAAAGTGTCTCCTCTTCAGAGGCACTGGCCTTCAGGTCCAGCTGTATTTTTACCTTTTCACTGCTCTTGTTAGTGAATTGATTCGCAATATCCATGTCAACACCAACTGAGAAAACTAGATTAAAAACAAAGAGAAGTAGGTGTTAGGGAAAGTTTATACCTTTCAGGTTCTATGTGAAAAAGTGTGTCAGATGTGAGGCAAATTGACTATGAACTAATGGGTCACAAAAAATATAATTAAACTAAGTCTCACCCCAAACAAGTCTGGAAACCATACTGAAGTTGAGAACTGAATCTAAGTAAATAGACATTAATGAACATTGCAGAACATAGAAGCTTGATTATTGAAAAGGGCAAACAACACAGACAAAACCTTACCCGAAGTGATTAAGTAGGAGAAAAACAGAGTTTAAATCTATCGCCAAACTATGATGCTTTTACACCCAAAATGGCTGGAATGTAAAGAATCATTGGGAAGTATTTATTTTGGCAAGTAACAGGGGTTTCATTTTGATATGGAGAATATATCATGTCCCTCCTGCAAACATATCTGAAGATAAAAATGTATTAACCAATCTATACAAATCAAATTACTTCATAATCATTCTTGGGAATAAACTTTTCTTTCTTGTTTACTACTAGGTTCTCAATAACCTACATAACCTATGGAAATCATATAACCATAAATACTTGAAATACTTTCTTAATGAAAGTATAGAACAAATTAACCAAAAATCAACATTACTGTAGAAATAAATCAGAGGGATTGAACATTATCATGGTCAAAAATTTAACAGATGTTCTCCTATCCTTGGAGAAAAAAAGGCAGTTATATAGGAAAAAATTTTCCATTACCAAATTCTATGGTAAGCCTTTAAAAGCCATCCAATTTACACACTTTTCCTGTTCCCAAATTGTATATTTTACTCTGACATAATTTGGGGAAAATGATATGGCATTTGTCAACACCATACTAAAAAGTGGCTTTAAACAATGTAGAAAATCAGTCTGTATTAGGTAATAGTCTTTTGCTGTCATGAAACTCAATTCATGTAACATGCCTCAGAAATTCATGATATCATCATGTATATTAAAACACATTTCCTTTTCCACTTATTTTGAAGTTTTTATTATTTCATAGATTAGATCATTTGATACATGATCAATTTACATTTTTATTCTATTATATTTATCTGATCTGACAATGTTTCTTAGAGGGATGATATTACAGGTATAATGTTTCCCGATAACTCTGTAAGTATAAATAATGATAATGTCCCAAGGTTTCTTTTTTCTCTATATAATGGTATAACAAAAAGGCTATCTAGGAGCCAATGATGTCAACACATTTCTCTTTCAAATTGCTCACTTCCTAGTATTTTTGTTCTTTCCTCCTATATTATAAACTGACCATATAGTCCCCTATTTGCCCTCCCACAGACTCTCCCCTGTCTTCCCCAGATTTACCCTCTTGACAAATCCCCTCAGAAAAGGACAGGCTTCCCTGGAACATCAACCAAACATGGAATAATATGCTACTATATGACTGGGCAATGCAGCAGCAGGAGGAAAAGGGCAGCAGAAGTAGGCCAAAGAATCAGTGACCACCAGCCTTCCACAGTTAGGAAACCCACAATGACATCAGGCTACTTAGCAATAACATATATGCATAGGGCCCCGCTAAGATGTGTACAGGCTGCCATATCTCTGTGAGTGCCTGAGTGCCAGTCAATTCCTCTGTGTGCAATGCTCCTGTGCTGTCTCTGACTACGATGTTTCCTCTGATTCTTCCTTTGGATGTATTTTTAAAATGAATACTGGCATGAAATGGAAAGCTGGAGCACATGATAAATTTCTAACCTTGTATGACCTACCAAATCTGAAAAGAGAGCATACAAAAACCAAAGCAGATCAATAAAGAGAAAAAAAGTTCAATATTCATTGAGAAAAAAATCTGAAGAAAAGAATGTTGGTTTAGTGACATGATCAGGTTCTATCTAATTAAATAACTGTAGATGTGCCCCAGGAAAACCTCCAAAACTCACCTATACTTCTAAACTACTGCTTATATGCAACCTTTTTGTTAGGCCTTATTCCTGAAGAAAGACAAAGGTGTGTGAGCCAACATGGAGAAGCTGAGCTGGTGTATACCTAGATGCTGCACCACTCCTGACTGTCAATCATGACACAGGAATAAACTCTGCATTTAGTGAAGGAGAAGAAGTCATCAATATCACCCAGCTACAAACACTAGGACAACTGTGACCAATTGACCAAATAGAATGAAACAATAATAGCTTAGTTTGCCAATAACCAACCACTCTATGATGGGTTTTGAAGCCCTCTCCAGGAGATATAAGCCATAAGTGACACTGCTAAAGTATCTAAAAATCTGAGCAGATAGGTCATGGGCCTATGGAAAAACCCGGTATTATTACCCTGCTAAAGGAGCATAGTGGTAAAATGACTCTTGATGACATACTGCTGTACAGAGAGATTAATGTTTCAAACAGCCCACACCAGTGAAACTCTCTCAGAGGATATGGACCTATCACAGACTCATAACAATGTGGATAAATTGTGAGACCTAGTAATACTTCGTTCAAATGATGGCCTCATGAAAATTATGCCTCAAGGTTCAGGGAATATAGAGAAGAAGAAAGAGAAAAACTCTTGGAGCCAAAGGAAATAGTTGATTCCAAGGAAGAGTGTATTCCAGATACAACAGGACAGATAAACCCATGAACTAACATAGACTGCAGCAAAGCACACAACTATGCAAATGTTCAAGCCAGATGGATGTTCTAGCAATGAAA